GAGGCCTGGAGACACACCATCTATAATGCTGCTGCTGCTTTTGAGAACACTCGCAGGATCACTCTCGAGGAGAAAAGACAACGCCAAAAGAATCGCGTCTTGTCGATATCACCTGGGGAGTCTTTCTGCTGTACCTTCTGCAACCGGACTTGTCTATCTCGCATTGGCCTTTTTAGCCATCAGCGCGCTTGTAGCAAGCGTGGGTAGAGCCCTTCTCAAATCTTCATTCGCGAAGCCTAGCCATGAACATGAAAGGAGTAGAGGAAATGAAAGTTTTAGCATGGAATATATTGTGTAGGTTATGTGTTTTAATCCAAGACCTGAAGGGCTGATAAAACTGGCAGTAAATGTATGTGTGTAGCATCACAGCATCATGAGCAATAATTTCACAGAAAGCAATCCTTGGCACTAAGTAAAGATTCATGACACATTAAAGTGTCACATGTACAGGTTTACCCAAATTTATAGACAGAGAAGATCTAGAGACATACTGAGCAGTTACATATATGCACATAAACATGGCAATGGAGGGTAGACTGTGGCACTCTGAACATTCATGGCATTTTCCATTGTAGTATGTATAAGTCTGGTCTATATTAAATTTGTCTCTGAAGTATGAAAGAGCAGGAGAATAAGTCTTAGTCTTTCAATCAGCGTTAATTTGTTTAAATATCACCAGCTTAATTCTTACTTTAAGCAATGTAATTTACTGCATCACTGAGTTCAGTAAGTAATTGACCATATTGCTTTCTTCAGTTACCACATTACCAGTTCTGGGCAGGGTAACGAATCTTTACTTAGTGCCAAGGATTGCTTTCTGTGAAATTATTGCTCCTGATGCTGTCATGCTACACATGCACATTTAATGCCAGTTTTATCAGCCCTTCAGGACTTGGTTTCAGAACTCGGGAAATGGATAAACAAATGCAGCTGGGTCCCTGAAGGGAAGCTGCATCTCCTTTCCTGGGATTTTAACCATGTCATGCTGTTCCATCATTCCAGAAACCAGAACCCCATGGCTCCTATCTAAATATTCTAACTGATTTGTAATCTGCCAACAGATTTGATTTGTGTCTGCCATTGTCAATTGAAAACAATGCCTATGAAGCCACAGTAGCTAGCATGATTTCAACTCATGTGATTTTTGTCCTTCACTTTGTTGATGTTAATGATTGCTGTATTTGAAAGGCTGAGCTCCCTGAAAGCTCTGGCGCTTGGCAGAGCTCTGTCTTTTGGCTCATGAAGTTGAGGTGGAAGATGCTAGCTAAGGCAGCTTTCATGGTGAACTAAGAGCTTGAAAGGAAGAAGTTGAAGGCTACTTACCTCATAATTTTCATATCTCTCAGTTTCTTTGTGAGACATTGTACATGACCCTGGCCCAGCTTAGGCAATTATTAATTGCTCAGTGGTGTTCTCAATACTCTTTGAACAAATGTACAAGTATCTAATGGAGAACAGATTGGAGTGCTGTGTCTCTTGCTTAGCAGTGACCTTTTCCTTCAGCCAGCTGGATTAGGACAGTCTGATTGATTCAGTATTGAAATATTAACATATTATTTTTAATGATTTTGTATGTTTAAAACCTGCAAATTACATCTGAGTTATTCTAAAATGTTCTTCTCATCTTTGTTTCCATAGTACCAGGATACAAATATGCAAGGTGTAGTGTATGAATTGAACAGCTACATAGAACAGCGCCTGGATACAGGAGGAGATAACCAACTGCTTCTGTATGAACTGAGCAGCATTATTAAAATAGGTAAGAAAGAGAATCAGATGTCTCCGAGCTGTTACTTAGGATCAGTGCACAGCACATTTCTTACGTGGTTTAATTAATAAAGACAGGTATTGAGGGATAACCGTGTTCTCATTGGATGTTCTCTCAGTATGAACTTACTTTACCTTCTGTCCCTCAGTGAATCCCTAACTGCACTTAAGCGAATGTCGTCTTCGCAATCAGTTGCATAGCTAATTGTGAAATTAGAGTCTCCTGTTAAATGAGCCAAAGCATATTCTATTCTGGTTATGATGGTGTTGCGATGTCAATATTGAAAGTAAAAAAAAAATAAAATCTACTGGCAATATCATTGCATACTGAAACTCCTTTTAAAACAAAACTGAAATGTTGCTGCAAGAAGACATATCTTTTGTGTGATCTCAAATTAAACTAATTTGTTTAACTATTTTTCGTATCTGATGTAAGTAACTTTTGTGGTAAGAAAATAGTACACATGGTCAAAAGTTTAAAAAAAACCAAAACAAAACAAAAATCTCAATAACAATAGAAGTGTAATTCAGCTTCTTTTTAGCCAGAGTGGATGTGCTCAGACTTAAATAGGAAGTATCACAGTAGCTTTGATAGTATAGCTTTCAGTCAGCTCTTCAAAAAGATTTTACTATCCTTGCTACTTCATAATTTTGTAATGATGAATAATAGTTCTGTTTTATAATCTTTTAAGAGGAGCACTTCTGTTTACTGGTTTTGCTTAAATTAGTATTTGGATATTGATGTCCAATTGACAGCAAATCAAACTGGATTTCATTAATACACAGCAGAAGAAAATTGACAAGACAGAGTGCTTATGTTTTACAATTTTTTTTTTCTTTTGTAAAGCAGATGAGGGTATTTTTTAATATAAATATTCCTTTACAGTGCTTATTTGCCTTGTAGCTCAAAATACATACTAGAGCTGAAAGATTTAAAATCTGAATGCCAACTACCATGCCCTCAACCCTTACTGGTGTTGTGCAGTTGGTAGTGAGCAAGTAACTACACAGTGGGACTTTTTTCCTTTTGTCAAAATAAAGAAGAAAGCCATTTGATTTGATTGCACACAAGTATAATTTCTCCCCTGGAAGGTACTAAATGGATTCTTGTGTTCATTCAAAAAAAAATAGGTACCAGATATGTTCTTTTACTGGTTAGAATGTTTAATAATCGTTGGAAAGACAAATACATGCTCAAAGTCTGTTGTGTAAAATGAAAAACCTTGTCTTCTATATTCTGTTCAGATTTTGAGAGTTTTCATTTGAGCAGTGATTTATGAGGTTGGTTGACTCTAAACTTTTGAGAGTTTAAGGAACTTGACTTTACCCTGTTTCACAGAACAATCTGAATCTGGCAAAAGGCTGATGAGTATAAACTTTCTGGTGCATGTCAGTGTTTTTAATATGGGGGAGGTGCAGAAAACCGAAACTGTTTGGAAACACATTTTTATGGCAATATTTGCAACTCCTCATTTTCCCATTGTTTTCTGGCTTAAGACAGAGACAAGTATATCTTAACATCTACAAATGCCTTTTATTTTAGACATGGAAATTATAATTGTATCTGGCTGATTATATAATTGTATTTTTATGTTAATTTATACTATTGTATGAATTAATTTGAAATTACAGGCATTAGGCTTTGGAGTACTAATAAGATGTATAAAGAAGTTGTTTTTAATGAACTTTTAGAATGTAGTAAATATAAACTGAGAAGAGTTATGTAGTGGTGCCTTTAACTGTAGAGTCTGGAAAGTTTCAAGGGACACATCAATGGACCTTAACCTTTAGAACTTTAGATGTTTGTCCTAAGTGGAATTGAATCTGTGGTTTCACCTCAGAGATATTGTGTAAGTTTGATTTACCTCAGTGAGTACAATTATTTATTTTGTTATTGTTTTGGCAGCTACAAAAGCTGATGGATTTGCACTGTATTTCCTGGGAGAATGCAATAATGTAAGTATCCTGGATTAAGACGGTACTTTTCTGGAGAATTACAAGTGTTTTATTTCAATTTCATAACGATGTTTTTGTATTCTTTTGCATGTCACTTAGCAGGAAATATTACTGAGTGCTGAATTTTACATTTATCCTATCTTTATTTCTGTAAATTAGATGTTTAGGGAACATAGTGGTAATGAAAAAAATGTTCTCCGTGTTTAGATCCTTGACCTTTTAAGATGTTGACAGGTCTTCTGTTAATTGTCAGCTTAGTGGGATAATGTTAATTGTCAGATAGTGAGATAATGTAGATTTCAGATGTAGATTCTGGTTAGCATAAAATAAATGGTACATTTAAAATTTATGAATGAAATTAGTTTCTGATGTAATAATTCAAATACCAGTGAATCCCATATTTGTTCTTTTTTTATTTGAACCTTGTTAGAATGCATTACATTTTTTCTGTCCGTATTAATTTGTACAGTTGCCACAATGTATGACTTTCTAGTTACTTTGAATGGCTATAAAGAGGGAAATGCAGTTTATTACTTCAGTCAGTTGCATCAACTTAAAAATTACAATTTGTCAGAAATTTTACATCTTTCATTGGTTCAAGAAACAAGCAGTGACTAGAGAGGAAAATATGTTTCTCATTGTTTTTGTTTCCTTACTTTGCACAGGCAGTTTTAATAGTTTATTCTTGTATAGTCCATTAGCCAATTTCCTTTGCTCTTTATGAAATAATTGAATTCAGAAAAAAGGGTAAAAATTACATTTTTGAAATAATGGAAACAGGATTGAAGATGTACAAACCTGCAGGTTACTTGATGTGGAAGAAAGGCCATACAGAAATTTCCTGTAAGAAATGGGATTTTTTTTTCATATGATTATTTCATATAATAAAGATAATCCACTTTATTATTCAAAAATTGTGTCTCCTCTGAATGAGTTCTATTAAGTATATAAGTAGCATATATTTTTAAATAATCCTTTCACTGAGCGGTATAATTTAAGAAACATGTTCTTCCTTTATGAATGCAATCTTTGGTTCTCATTAGTAGGTGTAAGCATCCATTGTCCTGGCTAGGGGGTGATGCAAATAGTCACTGAAAAGCTTCCTCCTGCTGTCAAAGGCAAGAGCCCCCAGGAGGTGCAACCATCCATTCTGAGTGCATTGCTGGCCAGCTTGGGTGCCAGTGCCTACCAGCTGAGCATGCTCATCTCTAAAAGCCTTGTAAAAGATGACAGTAAAAATAACTTTTGGGCTGAGACCTAGAGAATTCTTACTATGGTGAGGTTTTTCCTATTTGATTAGTGTGGCATAATATGGGATTACTCCGAGCCTTCTGATACCCTGAGGGCCTGGGTACTATATGACCTTCTTCTTTTTCCTTTTTTTTTTTTTTTTTTTTTTTTTTGAATAGCCTATTAGGCAGATTCATCTATTTGCTTCCCAGTATCCCAGTATAACTCTTTCCTGAAAAACGTTCCAGCCACTAAAAACACACATTGACTTTATTAACCACTGCTATGTAGCTGCATCACCCAAAATGGAATGTTCTTCATGTAGTTATTATAAAGGACTGATCCCAAGGCCTTTGAAGTTAGTGTGAGATTTTCCATTCACTTTAGTGGGCTTTGGGCCAGACTCATGTTTGTAGTCTTGTAACTAAATGGTAACGCATTAGCCTACTTCTTATAAGAAATTGTCATTGGAAATTAATTTCGATATCTCTTGCCTCTTGAATTTTTAATTTCAAGGATGTATCCAAGTGACATTAGCCATTCCCCAGCAAATACCGGCAATGTTTTTTTATTTATTTTTATTAGATGTCCTTTTAAAATGGAAACAAGAAGACTGTGCATAGAAGAAATGAGCTAATTCTTTAAGCTGCAATTTCAAAACTTTTTAAAAAACCCTATGATTAGCTGGGACAAAGTAGTTTCTGAATATCTATGGCCGTGTGTTGAAGAATGGCTTCTGCTTTTTGGTGGCTTAATTTTTGATGCTTGGTTTGTGACATAAATTTTGCAAGCTCAGCAAAGTCCCCCCCCCCCCCAATTTAACAATTTTTTTTTGTTTGTTAGCTTGAAAAATAAAAATAAATATAAATACACTATAATTATTATATATAGTTTTGTAATATTAATAAATCTGCTTGTTATGAAGTTAGGAGTAGTGTATGTCTTTTTGAGAATTAAGTATTGGGAGGGTGTTGTGTAAGAATGGAGAAATCCTTTTAACAAGCAGATAACTATTTTCTGCCAAATGGTTTTCTAATGTTTAGCGATGTGTATTCTAACTATATTCTGCAAGGGAACTTAGAATCAAAACTGAAGCAAAAGCATTAACTCTACTTCATTGCAGCTCCCACTTTAAATATGTATAATTATACTTTTGATTGCTTAAATAAATCCAAATTTGATAATTTTGACTTGTGTTAATCTCAGCAAAGGAATATTTTTTGCAATATGAGACTTTCACAATTAACTTTAGTCTGGATTAATTAGTGAGTTTCTAATTAGAATAGAAGATAATTTCCTTTCACAAAAATTCTATATATTCACAAAATTAAAATCAATAAATGATTACTACATACTGCATGCTATTATTTCTTAATATTGAAAGAACTGCTTTATCATTGCGAATTGCTTTTTTTCATGGTTTACTAATGTGTTGTAAAACTTTGGTGCAGTTTTTAATATGGGCAGCACCTTCTTTACATAAAAATTATATTAGAACTGAAAGAAAATTTGTGTGATGTGAAGAAAAACTCTAGATGAACCAATCATTTTTGTTTTGCAAGGCATAGATGATACACTAGCCTTTAAAGGAGGACAATGTTTTAGAAAAAATTCCTTTGGACTTAAATGGCACAAAAGTAAGCTTGTTAAAATACCTGTGCATATATAAAGTGTCTTTGTGGCCTTATTTTCTTTCTCTCTGTTGAAGTTTACTAACTATATTTTGACTTGTATTAGAGTTGGATAACAGCATAAGGGCAAGGTAACTTCTGGCCAGCAGTTCAGGTCTAATGCCTTCAGAATCTTTACTTGAGTGAATTTGCTTGAAATGGAAGATGCCACATCAATTGCAGATTACACAACACTTCTTTGTGCATGTATTTCTCAGAATTGGTGCCCAAATGACTGTGGCCAGTTCAGTTATTTTAGCAACCTTTTGGTTTGTTGAAATTGCTTGGAAGCACTAGCGCTCTTTGCACTCCTTACTAAGTGTTCTGATAGTATGATTCTGCTTTTCAAATGATTGCTCTCTAGCACGTAAGCACCACTGGCAAGCCCAGCTCCTTCCTTCCCTATAAAGTTGCCCTGAGTAACAGAATCTGGTTTTGCCTATGCTATATATATAGTAGAACACACTTCAAGGTACTCAGATACTAAAAGCAATACAACTTCCTCATCAGGATCTGAACAGACCTGTGCCAATACTACCTGTGGTCTTTGAACTTCGTCCCTATATAAGGGATTATCTTTGTCCGTGGGTTACTGTAATTATGCAAATAAAATTATTTATTCTTAAGGTACATAATCGCCATTTTACAAATACTATATACCAGACAGCAGAAATGCTTCCAAGTCAAACAGGAGTGTTTCACAACTCCCAGCAAACGTCTTACCTTTGTTTCAATTTTCTGTTTTATTCTTTATCAGGATGAATATATAGTTAAGACCTTAATTAAGTACCATCTTCAAATATGACTTAAAGTATTTACTGAAATCTTCATATTGGAGAGTGTGTGTGTAAATCAATTGCCTAAGTATCATGCTAGCTGGGCATAGTTTTAAACCCAGAAGCTGACATCTTTCCAAGGCAATATGTCTAAAATACTTATCACAGCTACAGAGTTTCTAATGTAGTATTATATTAACTGATTCTTCAGATACTTCTTGTTTATAGTTTTTACTTGTATGAGTAATTTGTCTCATGATTACATTGTGATTCCTATGTAAAGATCTATGACTTCGAATTTAATAGGCATACACTTAAAGTAGTTTTTTTTACTAGGTCTTCTGTTACTTGGTTCCCGAAACTGCAAATTGTGTTGACAAACAGATTATCCTTGCTTCAGAGAGAAGTTTCCAATAACTTTATTGTAAGAAATAATTATGTGAGGCCACAAATATGTACACATACTCTCTGCTTCAGGGTGTATTTTATTAAGCCATTCTAGAATTTCTGGGCATGCAGAAGTTGTTGCAGCTTGATGTGCAGTGCCATCTAGTGAGTTTATGGAGTCGGTGATTTGAATTGTTAAGAACTCAGGAAAAAACTGCTTGCCGTCTCAGGTTTTCGTACCAGTCTAAGGTGTATTTTGAATGTGTAGACATTTTCTCTGAAATTTGAGGCTTTAAAATATGCTTCCAGGTGAAAAGCTTCTAGCTGCAAGTCAATTCAGAAAACTTTGGTCTTTCTCCTTGAATCAATTCTAACATCATGTATTTTTTTATAAGTGGAAGATATCTGTTGCTTTCTTATTTGTTAGTGAATAATTACTCAGCAGAGAGTGATAGATGTTGATGTGTTACAGTTTCTGAGTTTAACTTTTGAGTTAATAAATATATAATAATATATAATATATAGTAAGATATAAGATAAATAACTGTCAAAATGTATTTTAGTGAAATTTTGATCTTGTTTCATTTACTATTCAGGTAAATGGACTTGTGGAATGTGGTCATGATGAATATAGAATCATAGAATATCCTGAGTTGAAAGGACTAAGATCATCAAAGTCCAACTCCTGGCTCTGCACAGGGCCATCCAAAGACTCACACTAAGTGACTGAGAGAACTGTCCAAACACTTCTTGATCTCTGTCAGGCTTGGTGCTGTGACCACTTCCTTGGGAAGTCTGTTCCAGTGCCCAGCCACTCTCTCTGGGGAAAGAATTTTTTTCTAATATCCAACCTAAACCTCCCCTGACTCAGCTTCATGTCATTCCCTTGTTTCCTGTCACTGCTCACCAGAGAGAAGAGATTGGTGCCTGCCCCTTT